AGTGGTGTGTGTTTTACAAGTATTATTTCAGGTGTAATATATTCAAAACCAGTTTCAGTCTCAGGTTCCTGAGTTAAAATTTTTGCAATACAAAACACTGCCACTATGTAGCTTTGATCGCGACCTGAAAGAACGAAACTGTATCTGTCGCGATGCTATTTGAGGGGAACGATCTAGCGTCTGTGAATGAGTGCCAGATTTTTATAATAAAATTAACTTCCAGACAACTTGACCACTTTACCCTTACAACTTCTCTAGTAGCAGTAGTAGTTACCTCCAGCCTTTATATTCCCCCCAGATTATACCAATATCTCCATATGCCCAAAAATTGACGAGTGCCAGATTCCACTGCGTCGTGACAAATAGTTAGAAAAAACACAAGGAGGGTGTGGGGGAGAGGCAGTAGCCATTTGTATAGTAGGTGTTTGTCTTTTTGTTGCCAGTACTAGTAAATAATGGTCCTTACCTAAGAACTCGGTTATCTGGAGACAAAAAAGTGGGTTCTTACTTAGTCATTTTGAGCTGAAGCAGACCAGGTTGTAACTGTGTGCATTTCAGGGGACATAACTTAGTGCCTACTAAAGTAGTTGTCTCCCCTTCTAAAAATCCTTTTATGATTTTATGAAATACAAACCCATGGGTGATATTGATGCGCGGGTGAACATAGAACTGGGTCAGTTTTTTTTGGGTTTTTTTGCTCTTTTTTTTTTTCCTTCAAATTATTGTGTGTGGTGTGCACTTGTTTTCCGAGGTGAGTACTATTTCAGCTGTAGGTGAGAACAAGTCGTTTCAGTTTCAGATTTCTGAGTGTAAATTTCTACAATGCAAAACACTGTCACTACCCTTTGATGGTGACCTGAAAGAACAAAACTGTATCTCTGTCGCGCTGCTATTTGAGGGGAACGATCTAGCGACTGTGAATGTGTGCCAGCTTTTATAAAATTTACTCCCAGACAATTTGACCACATTTACCCTTACAATTTTAGAGCTGCAGTGAAGAAGTAGTTAGCTCCAGCCATGTGTATACACTTTTCCCCTACAAGTCCCCCCCCCCCCCCCCCCCCCCCCGAGCGTGTGGGGGTTCCCTCGAAGGCTGCCGTCAACCTGACACTCGGTCGCATTTTTTACCATAATGCATCCAACTGTAACTGTCTCTGTAAAATATTCTATATATATATATGTTATTTAAGCATTTTCTGTTCCTACAGGCCTATCCTTTTCATAAGCTTTTAGCGTTATTTTAATTATAGCTCTGTTCTGTGCCTACGTTTGAATGAAAATAGTCTGTGTGTGTGCGTGTGAGAGTGTGTGTGTGTGTGTGTGTGTGTGTGAGTGTGTGTGTGTGTGTGTGTGTGTGTGAGTGTGTGTGTGTGTGTGTGTGTGTGTGTGTGTGTGAGTGTGTGTGTGTGTGTGTGTGTGTGTGTGTGTGTGTGTGTGTGTGTGTGTATGTGTGCATGTGTATAAATTATTGCATGAGAAGAAAGGGTAGTAAGAAAGGTTTTGAAAATGGGTATTTCAATGTAAAGCGCATTGAGCTACTTTTTGGGGAAATGGGCTAAAATATTATATTATATATTAAGTCACAAAACTTTGAAATTTTTTTAAAAAGCAGCAATATTTATTAACGTCAGTAAAAAATCGCTGACACAATCAATATTGGGTTGGCCAGGGAAGTCAAGGCCAAGGACATGGTCAGTATAACCTGGGCCAGAGGGAGGTGCGAGCTAAAAATAGCCCCATATTGTAAGGAGAGTTATATATATTTTTATATAAGATGAACAAGTGACGTCTAACCACCAGTCAAAAGCCTGTCGACCCACTCTGCAGAGCCAACAGGCTTGCATGCTTACAGTCCAAAGGTGGACCAAGTTCTTACACTGTATTTCTTTAAAGGAGAGAACGGTTTAAAAATAGCATGTTCTCTGCCCCTGTTCCTGGGCCCTTCACCATGTGATTCCTGTTACATAACTATATTTCATATATCAAAGCCATCAGTTTATATAATAATTATAATATTTTGTTTTTGTAAAGTGTTTTACGGCGCTCGCAACTGCATAAGGTCATATGAGCGCGCGGGACACACCTAATATTTTCAGTTGGTAGGAAATTTTGAATTTTGCCCGGGTGGCGGCCTAAGCCTACTCTTATCGATTTTAGACCACCAAGGGATCTTTAACGTGCGCAACTTGCACACGGGCCCTCCGAGATTTTTCGCCCTTGTCCGAGAAGGCTAGGTGTAGTTCTTTCCTACCAGAAGATCAGGGGTGTGGCAGAAAGACAGCAGTAAGAAGGAGCCAAGGAGTAACAGTAGAAAGGCTGCAGAAAGAGTCAGGAGCCCAGAGGAGGGGGCAAAGGAGGTGAGGGGCAGAAAGTGGAAATGAAAGCAGACAAAAGAACATTGCTAGAGAGCAGGAAAGGAGGTGAAAGGAGACAATTTTAGAGAAGAAAATTTTTTGGTCGCTACCCGGATACGAACCCGGGACCTTTGAATGAGAGGCCAACACCTTAACCTCTAGGCCACGAGAGCCCCCTTTATAATATTAAAAAATCAATACATTATTATATAATACATATATTCATTGTGTTCTTTTTAACCAGACTACAGACGTAGGGCCTTATAGAGATAGTTTTGGGGGGGGTTCTTCCAGCTTCATAGAATAAACTATTATTAATTAAATTATTCATGGAATATGATAAAATATAACTTGGGATTCTCACTTTTCCCATTTCAACTTTTACGCCTGAACTGAGCGGTGGTTTGTTGCTGTTTTGGAAAGTTTTATGGTGCTCGCAACTGCATAAAGTCATATCTATATATATAAGAGCGTGCGGGACACACCGAACATTTTCAATTGCTAGAAAATTTTGAATTTTGCCCAGGTGGCCGGCGAAGCCTACTTCTTATCGATTTTAGACCACCAAGGGATCTTTAACGCACGCAATTTGCACATCGGACCTCCAAGATTTTACGCCCTTGTCCGAGATGTCAAGGTGTGGATCTTTCCGACCAAAAGATCAGGGGTGTGGCTGAAAGACAGCACACAGTAAGAAGGAGCCAAGGAGTAGCAGTAGAAAGACTGCAGAAAGAGTCAAGAGCCCAATAGGGGGCTAAGGAGGTGGGGGAGTGGGGAAAAAAAGTGGAGACGAAAGCAGACAACAGAACATTGCAAGAGAGCTGGAAAGGAGGTGAAAGGAGACAATTTAGAGAAGAAAAAATTTCTGTCGCTACCCCGATTCGAACCCGGGACCTTTGAATGAGAGGTGAACACCTTAACCTCAAGGCAACCAGATTCTGAACTGTGCGCAGCCTACAGATTCTAAACTTTTTTTTTTTTAATTCAAAAATTAAAGGAAGAGGCTAGAGAGACCAGGATCCTGGTCTGTCTAGCCTGTGAGTCTAGAGAGACCAGGATCCTGGTCTGTCTAGCCTGTGAGTCTAGAGAGACCAGGATCCTGGTCTGGTGTGGTCTATTGTCTCTAAAGAGACCAGGATCGTGGTCTGGTGTGGTCTATTGTTATGATCGTGGTCTGGTGTGGTCTATTGTCTCTAAAGAGACCAGGATCGTGGTCTGGTGTGGCCTATTGTCTCTAAAGAGACCAGGATCGTGGTCTGGTGTGGTCTATTGTTATGATCGTGGTCTGGTGTGGCCTATTGTCTCTAAAGAGACCAGGATCGTGGTCTGGTGTGGCCTATTGTCTCTAAAGAGACCAGGATCGTGGTCTGGTGTGGCCTATTGTCTCTAAAGAGACCAGGATCGTGGTCTGGTGTGGTCTATTGTCTCTAAAGAGACCAGGATCGTGGTCTGGTGTGGTCTATTGTCTCTAAAGAGACCAGGATCGTGGTCTGGTGTGGTCTATTGTCTCTAAAGAGACCAGGATCGTGGTCTGGTGTGGCCTATTGTCTCTAAAGAGACCAGGATCGTGGTCTGGTGTGGCCTATTGTTATGATCGTGGTCTGGTGTGGCCTATTGTCTCTAAAGAGACCAGGATCGTGGTCTGGTGTGGTCTATTGTTATGATCGTGGTCTGGTGTGGTCTATTGTCTCTAAAGAGACCAGGATCGTGGTCTGGTGTGGTCTATTGTTATGATCGTGGTCTGGTGTGGTCTATTGTCTCTAAAGAGACCAGGATCGTGGTCTGGTGTGGCCTATTGTCTCTAAAGAGACCAGGATCGTGGTCTCGTGTGGTCTATTGTTATGATCGTGGTCTGGTGTGGCCTATTGTCTCTAAAGAGACCAGGATCGTGGTCTGGTGTGGCCTATTGTCTCTAAAGAGACCAGGATCGTGGTCTGGTGTGGTCTATTGTTATGATCGTGGTCTGGTGTGGTCTATTGTCTCTAAAGAGAACTTGCCTTCGTGGACACACCTGAAGGTGACGTGGGTGTACTTCAAATCCTCTTTGTAACGAAAGTTGCCTGAACAGTTTTGAATTTGCAGCCCTCACTGTCAAACTGGACTTCCCTACCACTAGATGCTCGTTGCTTTCGGCTTTCCTCGACGTCAAGACGGCCATAAAATCATCAAAAGAGTCGAAATACTGCCCTACGGAGATGGGGGCCGCCATCTTGAAGTCGAAAATTGAAAGGAAAGAAAGTTGGACTCGGGGTTTGAGCATGCGCACACGCAGAAAATTTCCCTGGTCTCGGGAGACACTTCCTATCAAATCTCATGACTTCTCTCATGCAACCACAGCTTGACCTGCTTTGCATTTGTGCCAAGAACTGATTCCGTTTGCTTTTTACGTGCTAGATTCTAGATAATCTAGATCTAGATCTAGATTGTAGATCTAGTCTAGATTGTAAATCCAACCCTGCCTATAAACTGAAATCAAGATGAAAAAAAATCTCTGCCTTGGCCTTGGCACATCGATGAGAATGGATGGACAGCCTGTCACTGCATGTCACACACACAAAAAATGACGAGTCACATGTCATGTTTACAAACACAGATTTTTTGTGTGTGTTTTTCTCAGAACCAAAGTTTATCATTAAAGAAACTTACCACAAGAAGGCCCAAATGCTGCTCAAAACGGAATGAATGAACGACACCGAGATGTTCTTCCACTTCCATGAAGACTTCTCAGTTTGAGCAACAAGTGGTGTGAGGAAAACAACGAGTTTCGATACCAAGAAGAAGGAAAAACATGACACTGCCACAACATGACAACCATAGTTGGGTTCTGTAATGTTGTGCTTCCATATTTCCTTCCCTCTGACTTGATCCTCCATTTTTTCAGCACAGAAAAAGCATCCACTGAGAGTCTGACAAACACCTCCACCCGGGCACCCGCGATAGATCTACGTAAGACCTGCTTAAAGCATAAACATACCCAGAGCAATCGAAACAAAATCTCTTGTTACATAACTAGGTCATGTCATGTGTCAAGCTAGGTCAGAGTTCGAAGTTCAGATCAGGAACCCTTTAATGTTTGAGTACTTTGCACCTTTTTCAGAGCATATTAAAGTAGAAAGAAGATGTGAACCTGGTAATAACAAGTATTTCTATACTTAACATTCACTTAGTGACCAATACGAGCCCTCCAAACAGGAAAGGAGTGTTACGAAGATTGCCTGACAGATCAAGGTTTGCGGTTGATGAAGAGGAAAACACACAGACCTTTGGTATACATTAAATCGCATTCGTCCCGAGGTACGGGTATCGAAAAGGGGGCAAAAAGAAATAACAATCGAAACCGTTATGCAAGCATTCCTGGCAGGCAAATGGAAAATAGAGAAAATAGAGAATAGAAAAGAAAAAGTAAGGCCAATAATGATACCTATTATAACATAATAAAGCTTTGTATTGCGTTCCATCTTTTTCAATAGGCCTACACCATATTTTGGCTTTCCCCCGAAATTCCGAGCTTTCTTTTTCTTTTTAATTTTGAACCGGCAGCGTAGATCGAGGCATCATGCAAACACCGTATCAGATTTAAATAGGTTTTGCTTGTAGATGTAGACCTCTTTCAATAGGCGAATGATAGTTTGTCATGTCTGATGATGACCAATATATCGCTACTATAAAGTACTAAGAGCCAAGTGGAAGGAATTAAGGACTTTGACATGGTTTATTTTAACCCTGCAATTTTAAGATGAAAAAAGATATTGTCATTGTCGAGATCACAAATCTCTCTCTCCCTCCCTCCCCCCCTCTCTCTCTCTCTCTCTCTCTCTCTCTCTCTCTCTCTCCCCGTGCTCTTATGACTGCCAGCAGAAGGCGGAAGCTTACTGAATCAGTTTGGGATTGGAAGTTTAGGGGGTCAGTGGGCTTAGGGTGCATTATTTATACAGGTCAATGGTTTCGGTATCAAGGGACGCCACTGTGAAGTAATTTCAACTAGGCTTTAAAAACTTTCAGTTCCAAAGATTGTCAAATGCCAATTTGGCTGCCATTTGTCGCTGCCTTAAATCAAGGAGGTTTTGTAGGTAGGTCTAGTAGATATTCCAATAAAACATTTACTCATACAAGGTCTAGAAAATAATTTCCAGAACATGGGGAAGGGGACTCTATCTCTCAACAGTACTGCCTACTCTATGGTTCTAAAATAGCAATTTTGTGCTCTTGTTTCTTGATTTGAATCATTATCGCTTGGAAATATCTGACATTGACAAACCACTATCAACATTCAACAAGCAAGCTGCAAGGTATGAGACGCTTTTTTTGGCTTAGTGGCTTAGTTTTGTATTTGGTGACAAAAGAATAGAGGGAGAGTGACTCTTGTAGATTTTTTGTCTGTATACTTTGTGACTTTGTTCCCAGTTACCGGGGCTGTATACACTCCCTTTAATTTTACACTAATTTACAGGAATTTTCCTCACTCCACCCAGGTGGGAATGATGGCATTAATGATGGGTGCCCGGCTTCAGACAGTGAAAGATTCTGTCAGTGAAGTGTGAAGTGTTTGAGTTTGAGTGTTTAATCAGCTGCCTCCACTGCATGCTTCTTGTGAAGCCAAAAATGTTACTTGTGTGCTCATTCTATTCTAGATCTAGTACTATGGTATGCTGGGGTAATTATTTATACGAAGTGACTATTTCTCCGAACGTTCGGAGAATTAGTGCCGATCTTTATTTCTCCGAACGGTTTCCGGCTTCCGCTCTGGTCGTGATTGTTTGCCTATTTGCGAGAGTTCGGCGCCAACTTTCATTCCGTCATTCTGCGAGGTCTGGGAAGGAGCAAATCAAAGGTGGTATCTGTTCTCAGCTTCTCCTCCGGCTGTGTGCCCA